TCATGGGGACAACCCCAATACTAGAAACGGCGCGCGCTTACGGTCTCCGTCCCCGATTATGGCTCCTGATAACACCTATTTTTTTTTCAGGGGTGCAACATTCTTATCTTTAAAAGATGCACAATGTAGCTGAGCATATAACAGTACGTAACACAATCAAAATATATCAATTAAAATGGAAACATACAGAAATAGAGACCAGCAACGCGGAGAATAGGTCAAGTTTCGTGACCTATTATAATAAAAAAATTGGGGTTTTGTACACACCTTTCGTCAGTCGTTGATTTAGTGGCCATTGTCAGGAGGTTATTTTGGCAGTTGGGACGCGCTTTAGTGGCCGTTGCTGTTGTAAAGAGGTGGCCGTTGTTGAGAGTTTAAAATAAGAGTGAATGTATGGACCGTCCGCCGGGACAAAAACAAGTGGCCCTAGTAGAGAGATGGCCGTTAGTGGAGGTTCGACTGTAGTAGGATACTGGTAACGTTTGGAAAATGGAAAACATATATATATGTAGAGAGAATTTCCAGTGAAAAATCAAGTGGGGTTTGTGATTAAACTGAATCATTTTACTCTTGACTGCATTTATTGGACTCACTGGAAAGAAAAAAAAAACACAAATTGAACTATACAAAATATCATCGTATAAGCAAATCGTCGAGTCGTTTTCGTTAGAACTGTTTAACCATTAACCACTTGGTCTATATGAGAACCGGTGAGCGGTTAGGAAACTGATGAGGGCTAAAGTGGAACCAAGATCATGTAAAGGAGCGCATTGCATGACGGGAAAATAAATCACACGAGATAGCCTAGAGGAATAGACCAAAGCCATTCCATTTAGTTATTAGTTAAATAACAATTTAACACACGCCAAAGGGAAGCGGTTTGGCTTAGTGGAAACACACTTTGGTGACTATGGTGAATTTCAAGTAAACGTAATTAATAGTCACCAAACGGTGCTTTCGATCGCTGACGGGATATCTTCATTTCAAAGATTTCTCTTTAGCTATTTAATTCACGTGCCTCCATCTTTTTCTTTCTGTCTTTAAATTCACCAAAAAAATCCTTTCACGTTATACTTATGAACAGATTTGAGATTGCTTAAAGTGCTACAAGAGTATGTGAAAACATGCTTAACATTCAGTACAAGCGAAAATATTATCTCTGATAATTTCTTCATATCACGCTAGCGACTTTTACATCATTAAATTAGTGAGAAATATGTCTAATCTTACCTGAGGTGAGCTTGTACCTTGTTTATGTGGCGGTCATTTTGAATTTTAAATACGCGTTAGTAATTTGAGGTCTGGAACCGAGAAACCTTTCAAAACCACTCGGAGCTCTAGGAAATGGTAATTCGTCACTTCATGATTATAGGCGTACGTTTGGAAATTCCGTAAGTTATCAGTAGCAGACCTCACACCGGTCAACCGCGTAATAAAACTCCAAATTAAAGTAGCACGTTACAAAACAACAATCACGGCAGATCACTAATTTAATCTAAGTGCCTTTCGTGTCTTGAACAACGCTCTAGCTTAAAAATTGCGTCAACTAACTTTAAAATTTGACCTTTGTACTCTCCTTTCTACTGCACTTTTTCGCTGATTCTGTCTTCATTATTCATTTGGGGGGTGGGGGTAGGCAGCGCAATGGTGAGAGCGCTTGCCTACCACCAATGTCACTATGGCTCAACGAAGATGGCTCAACGAAGGTCACTGTATACCGAAAACCGACTCCTACTGATCAGTAAATGAATTTCCATTCTAACCATCATCTACAACATAAAAGAGCTGTAGTTTACAC